AAATGTAGAACTGGAGCGTAATACAGAGAATGGAGAGGGACAAGTTGTTGGAATGATGGAATTGTACAAAACTGAAGCTAATGTAAGAATCGTTTATTACTTGTCATGGTAATGTGTTTACGGTTCAATAGAGTTCAGTGTATCTGAGTACATCTGAAGGTTTGTATGTTGTACCATTGGATGATTGTGAGAGACTGTATCCAACATGCAGGTAAGATGCAATTGATAATAAAGGATTCAATTAATTATAATAATTTATATAACAGTGAGTGTATTAGTTCACGTGATCCTTACTGTGCATATCATGTGGAAGGAGGAAAGTGTGTGTCAACCATCACTAGTGTAGGAGGGAGTGGTTCATTACTACAAGACATTGTTAATGGTGATAGTAGCAATTGTCCTGTTGCTCATCATACAACAACTGTTAGTCCATCACCTACAATAGTGACACTATCAACAGTTGACTCAAGTGCCATCAGTTCTTCGGGGACCAGTGTCATGAGTAAGTTATGACGTTAAGTATTCCTTATCAATGACCTGTGTAACCATATAGACACTGTACAGACTGTAACTTCATCGTCAAGCACCACTCTCTCATCTTCTACTGTTAGTTCAAGTATAGCACCATCATCATCTTCGTCATCATATGTAGCTACCATCACTACAGGTAATAGACTATATAAGGATGTGATATCAATGTATCCTTATTGAATTTGTGTTTCCCCTTCCTGTACAGAGCCAACAGTAGGTACGGTTAATGATGCAAGTATTGAAGAACACACGTGGACTATAGTTGCTGGTGCTGGTGGACTGACGGTTGGTATAGTGGTCGGCGTCCTGTTGTTTGCTCTTATAAGGAACAAGAACAGGTTCTGCTGGGGCAAGTTCCTCTCGCGTAATCGTCGCTGTCATTGGGATGATGATGGAGAAAAAGGATCTTATGAATTGGGGCCAACTAAACCAGACTACCCTCCAAAGAACAATGCACATGACTATTGTAAAGTGCCTGTGAGATCTACTACCCCACCATTGAGTAAACTTAACCCTACTCCAAAAATAACAGATTCTCCAGTCCTCACTAAATACACTAACACTGGTAGTGGCAGAAGACACAATCGCTCTATGAGTCATGGCGGACAATTCCTACCCAACGGGGCTCATCATCCTGTGGCTGGTAGTCCGATTGCTGGTAGTCCAATGGGAAATAACTTGAGAACAACATTCCATGTGGACGAGCCTGTTCCTAATCCAGAGTACGAGAAATACGGACACAACATGATAGGACGACAAATATCTAGAGAGTACCCAATGATCATGCCAATGGTCACGCCAAACAGGATGGTAGCACCCCCTTTTCATCACGCTAAGACTAATTCACTTGATCTTGATAATATTAAATTTTAAGTGACTCGCTCCATTGCTCACGCTACATCCAACTACTGTACAATAGGTTATTAAACACCACATCATGTTAATCACAACATTTTACAAAAAAATTTTTCTGCACTATTTTTTTGTTTGCTATTGTGTAAAATGTTTTTTGTTATTAAATTATTCGATTTTAGCCAGCTCCCCATTCTATAGTTTTTAGCTCTTAATCACTTGAATGTCTGTCATAATTCATAATGGTAATTAAAATTTTTGTTCTAATAATTATTATTTTGTATTATTGTTCAAAGTTATAAACGTTCCGTTACTAAATTGACCACAAACAAGAGACAACAAAGGAGAATGGGCCCAAATATTGCTCCTTCCAGACCAGCAAAATATACCCCACCAGCAATAGCTAGCCCAGTCAAGAAGGGATGGCTCCTATCAGGACATAAAAGGAGAAAATGATAATAACCACAAACACACGCACTTGTACGTGCATTAAATTACCCTTCTATCTGACTGTTGATGAGTGAGTCGACCATAAATGGAGGAAACAGGAAGAGCCCCAAGGCAATCAATGCCTGTAGTATTGATTCCTCCACAAGCCATAGCTTCAGTACAGCAACCAGCCCAACCCAGTATGGACCAACAAATGGAACAGCACCAGCCAGTGCAGCAAAAACTGTCCATGAATGAGGAATAATGATAATAAGGACACTTGTTATTCTCACCTGATGGTAGGAAGATTATATCGATACCAAAGATGGAGAGAATCAGCCATGTATACAGGCCGTAAAAGCAAGCACGTCTTAAACTAGCATAAAGCACGCTTCTACAAAAGGAAGTTATGGCTCATAATGATACAGACTATATCACTTACTGAATGACCCGTGTAAAGATGTCAGCATAATTATTGCTATCAGAGGCAGTCACAAAACTAGGGAGAGTACTAAGGACCCAACTGATGGGCAAATACTGATCCTCCGAATAGCACAACAAATAAAATAACGTGGTTATGAATATAACCTGTACAATATACAAAATGGAAATAATAAGATTTAAAAGGAATTTGATATCTCACAAAGTTTAAAAGTAACGTCCCACCACTAAAAACCACTGACATTAGTGATGTCATTAACGTTAGACCAACAGTGACATTGGCAGAGAGCAAGGACCACAGTGATTTCAATATCTGTAACATAAATAAAACATTCCAAATCATCCATCATGATACTTGAACACTGATATCATGGCTTCTATACCATTGACAAATTAGTATAAATTATTAGTCGAGAGTCACTCACTGATAGGATGGTTTCTATATTCTCAGAAACAAAATTTTTGACCTGATTAAAAATACGCGCATCATCTACAACAATGCTATCGTCTCTCATGGACTGGATCACAGAATCCTTATCTGTCGAATTCTACAAATTCACTTACATAATAAATCTATTCACACTACATCACGAGTTACCTGAAACACATACACATGATACATTTTGTCATAAAGTTTTAAAATACTCTCTTCCGTTGCTGGATCAGCTACCAACCCATGTATCTATAATGTACAAGTATACATGTAATATACATGCACATGTATAATATACATGTAACTATAATCTATTGACAAACTTTGCTTGCCAGATACTCCCTCCCATAATGAAAGCCTTTGTCTGCAAACTGTTCCAAGTGAGTATGGACAACTTCACCTTGTCCTAGAAGACTGATAAAAATACATGTAGATAGCAGCGTCTAATTGAATCAGCAGTATAAACACTAAACAAGAATTACATTGGCATCCCACTCTCTTTTCACACAGCACATATATGTGAACTATCCAATTGTGAATATGAATGAATGTACGTGTATTGAACATTCTTCTGCAGCTGTACAAACAATGACTACACAGGAGGAACGGAGCGAGATGATGATGCACGTATCAAGCGAATAACAGTTTAAAATCCACTTAAAGTGACATCAAATACTCATTAGCATTGACCGTGTGTACTTTTAGAGGACATCAAAGGTGTCAATAATTATAAAGAGGTTTCTTAATGTCACTAACCCAACAGTAACAGAGTACAAATCATAACAGATGTATACTGCGATACCAAAAACTATGCACACACATGAAAGCTACTACTAGTGTGTCCAAAAAGCGCAGTATAGCCTGTTTATAATAAGCCACTAATCACAAATTGGCATGTACCGTAATTCTTCTAAAATTTCGCACCTCTAATTTCAAAAATAAATAATTTTTAAGCACTTTTATTTCAAAATTAATTCTAATTATTCATTTTGTAAATTACATGTATGATAAAAGCTCTTCTAATTTCGCCATTTCCCTCCAATTTCGACACTTGACAGCATTATAACACATGGACCTGTGCTGGAAGGGGTCGAAAACCATGTCTAACTCACAGTGATGCCTCGAGCAGCACTCCGCTGGACAGATGACTGCCATTAGTAGGCCTAAGTTCAAGATTCAGATTGTATTAGTCAAGCAACAAAGAAGCATCGACAGACTTATATCTTGTCCAATAATGCATCTTAGTGCCTCCTATTTCGTCATAATTGATTGCTAGTTGGCCATAGAGGCTTAGTTTACTCTAATTATTCGTTTTCAAAATTTATTTATCAAAAGTGACTGTGGTGAATTTTTAGAAGAATTACGGTAATAAGATAATCAGACTGGCTATGTATAAAAGTACATGTTTGTATTATTATTAACTGCATGGTTCATAATTTTGGTGTAGTGTTCATTCAGTGAATTTTAAAGTAGCTCAAAATTTGACAAAACATCATAATATTATACTACAGTATATGCGGCATTAAAAATCACTAGAATAATTTTTTGTAACACATATGTACATGTACATGTTTTTGTGTTACATGTATATGAAAATTTTGAGCTGATTCTGATAAAACTGAATTCTTATGAATTGCTCAAAAAATCGAGTCAAAGTCCCTGTAAAGGCGGATTTACAATATGACATTAGGCCAGCGTACCGTCAATTTTTAATCAAAAGCGTGGGCGATTTGACCTTTTGACGCATGCTTTCCGCTGGAATAAAACCAGATTCTATTCCAGCGTCAACGTACGTCAGGACTAGCGTAATATTGTAAATTCACCTTTATATATAGTATAGCCAAAATGACTAGGAGAGACTTCTCTACTTTAATAATTTTTTCTGATACACATAAATGTTCTTATGCTGTGTTGCAAGTTTGGGCTGATTCCAATAAAATTTTTAAGTTACTAATTGAGCCAAAGTCTCTGCTAGTCTATGGGCAAATTCCACCTGTGTAACTCAATAAATCAATCCCTTGAAAATTTGTAAAAATAAAATCCATCAAAATCGAGCAAACTAATTTCCCAAAATTATTTTCAAAAAATTTACAGGTCTCAAAAATTTTGATACATAATAGTTACATGTACATGTAAGTGCTATACATGAACATGTTACAGGAGATTGCATAATCCTTGCAACAAGGGTTTTAGTTGTTTTATTTTGTTAAGTGGGTGATTTATTATTAAGTAGCTGTTACTCTCTTATAAGGAAGGTAAGGCAGATTTCCAATTCTACTCTTGTTGCAAAGATACAGCAAATTGCACAGGCCTTGCAAACCAATTCATAAACCAATCTATAAACTTCAAAGGGGACTGTATAAATTGAGGTGTGTTTTGCATTGTGTGGTCACATTAGTGACATTACCACCTACTTGGCAGTTTGCAAGGTCTATGCAAATAGCTGTAGTGCAATCTCCTGTAGTATGATAAAATAACTGTGTAAATATGTACCTGCGGATGAATGGGCTTTGCTCAATTGAAGTGTTCAATACTTGAGTAGCTAAACCAACTGAATGAGTTATCTCAAGTTGTATTTGAAAGATGAGAAATGCCGACAGAGCAACTGATCCTAACAATAAGCCAATAATTATGAGAGCACTAACAAAAGAACCAGCTGTCTTCTTTAAAAAGAGAAGAGCCAAACCATCAATGTCTTTACATAGCTGCAGTAATGTTGGAACGGGCTCTGGGAACAATTTTTCTTGATGTGTAAAGCACCAGTTTTTAAAAATTGTCCAATATGTAGAGCCAACTTGGCACAAGTATTCTATTGATGCAAGTTGTGCCAACTTCTTCACACACCATACAACAACCAATGGAGTCATTAGCAACAGTAGCCAAGGATGATGCAAAATAATGAGGAGCATACATAGTGTTATGAGAACCAAGAAAATACTATTACTAGCATTAGTTTGGCCTTTGATATGTCCTTCTGGTATCTGTTCCATCAACCCGCTATTAATGGATGGATTAGACCATGAATCAAATGAAGAAGATTTCTTTTGTGATGCTCCTTCATCTTCTCCTAGTAAACTATCCGAAGGATCGAAACTCTGTGACTTGAAGCGAACTGTAGATTTTCTCTTGAGTTCTCTACCATCATCATTATCATCATCATCATCACTTGTAAGAACTGTAACCCCTTTGGGCTGTTCTTCTTTTTCACAATCAAACGAGTCTCGTTGCATACGATGAACTATACTCTCTTGTATCATATCGTAAGCATCAACAAATACACTTTTACGTCGGCCATCTTGCTTCGTAGGCATCTTTATCTTATTCTTCCATTTTAAAAACAAACCAAGGCCAGCAATAAGAAAGAGGACAGTAACAAAAGGTACTCCTAATGCTCCTAATACTACTGTAGCTATATTCACTAGTAGCAGATACCATATAGTCACTATTATAAACTGGACGGCTAACGGTGGTTCATGCCTCTGTATGTAGCTAATAGACCAGAAAGATATGGGTAGACCAGTCAAGATTATTAATATCTATAAAAGAAAAAAGATCAAAAAAAATAAATAAATTCTATGCCATGTAGAAAGTTTGAGCTGGTATTTTCAGAACATGAGCATTTTAAAATAGCATACATCAGAATGATTAAATGATGCATAATTCCATACATAATTCCAAACTGTAAAAAGTTTTAGCTGTATTTTTAAGGACTCACAAAATTACATGTATTTTTTTCAGTACAGGTTTGTGTAATAATGGAAATGTTATATTAAATTATCCACTCTTGACTTCAGTAATAATTATTAATTACCTGCAAGGGTTTCGTATAAGAGAGAATCATATCCATTTGATTAAGAGCATTGAAGATCAGTGACAATGTGTAATAAAGAAAATAGTATCTTGTATCGCAATAAAATAAAATAGCTGATAGGGTAAGGAGGCCCATGACTTTCCAATAATAGAAAATGAGGTTCTCGATTTTAATGACTGCATCATGTAAGAAATAGACTGGGGAGACGAACACACCAGCAACCAATGGGACATCGTGTTGATATAAGTTGTCAAGCCACGACTCGATAAACGTAGTCCCAGTATGTTTGAAAGGGAACAAGAATGCTCCAATTATCACTGCCCATAACAGAGGATGAAGAAATGGCTCGAGTATGAAATACACAGCAACCAGTATGCATACGAACACACCAACCATTAGAAGAACAACAGCATTGTAGACAGACTGGAGCCATATGTCCTCAACAGATAATGAGTCTGGTGAATCTGTATGAGGATCACGTGCTGCTTGAAACAAGTTCCTCAGACTCTGAGCTAATGTGACTTGGGCTTGCACTGTTGCCATGGATATGCTCCGCCCAGAAACGAACTGCTTCCTCCTGAAAGACAAGCCATCTTCATCATTCATAGACATAATATAATCCTACTGACGATACTATTGTCTCTAATCTATGACCCACTCTCCCACTCAACAAAACAACACACTGACTGATCGTCAGTGATTGACAGTTGCATGCAGGATAGGGGAGGAGCTGGATGTGGGAGGAGTTAAATAAATGCCACACCCACAAATCAAATCGGATGTGCACGGTAGAATCCGAAACATGATACGGAGGTAAGAGCGATCATGAATATCCGTAATTTCTGGCGCGAAGTGACAAATTCTGGATCACGTGATCTTGTAGCGCCCTTTTCACCAGTAGATCCCTGTGTACCTTTGCCTTTCTTCTCCGTTCTAGTTCTGGACATGTCCGCCTCATCTCCTGTTACTGATCCCATACCCCACAGCGTGGCCGAGACACTACAGGTTACTACCAGTGATGCTACAGACCCAGTCCCTGTGACCGACCATGTTTCAGTCACCGATCCCATCTCTGTCACTCAACCCGTACCAGCTTCTAGCATACCAAGTGTAGGTGCCAGTATATCCGTCCCTGACAATGGCTCTGCCGCCTCTGCTCTGGCTAATGATCGGTCTTCATCTGCTTTATTGAGCCTGGCCTCTTCTTGTAGTTTGACTGAGATACTAAACGCTCAGCAGCAGGCCTTAGAACAGTTTCAGTGTCAATTGCAGTTAGCCCAACAGACTGAAGCTATCAATCAACGATTGGACGCTATTGAACGTACACTGAATTCCCTCATACAGCAGAAGGCACAGGAGGAAGCAGCTAAGAATGCAGCAGTTGTTGCTGCCGCGGCTGCAGCTGCAGTTACACCCATCACTCCATCTCAACTCCGCCCATCACAGCAGCTCCAGTTACCAAGCAGCAGTCCTCCTGGGAGTGACTCCAAGAAGAAACTACCACGGGAACTTTGTGTAAGTAATGGTACAAGGGACCATAGTGGGAAAATTTTGTGGCCCAAAATTTATTTTGTATTTTAATTTTTTCTACTATATTTGATCAATTTTTGTGGATTTTATTTTCTGATGATTTTGAAAAGCATGAAATCCATGAAAATTTTGTACATTGTAGTACTAGGTAGCTTGTGATTGCCAAATTTTAGCTGTTTTAAGGAACTTGTGGCCATTGTATTTGTTTTTTTTTTCAATTTTTCAATAGAGTAAAGTTCGTTCAACTTACAATTCTTTGAGTCTCAATTTCAAGATTGACGAGCGGTTTCTGAGTCCAGCAAACCAGCATGTTACCGATGCTCTTATTGATCAAGTCTATACTGACAGTGGTGGGATCTATAATGTCAAAGACATTAAACGTAAGCGCCTTTGTGTACATTGTATACTGTGTTATCACTGTTATGTATTCAGTACAACATACTGACTTTGTATTTGTAACAATAATTATTTTGAAATAGAAAACTCTGTGTCATTAGTTATTTTTCTCCACATGTAAATTTTTTGTGGCCAAGAATTTTTATGCAAATTTTGTGAATCTTGAAATAATACAAAAATTTCATCCTTAATAATTTTACTCTTCTATTATGCTATGGTAGACTAAGGTACATTTGAAAAAAAACATAGGCTATATACAGTAGCCTTTGCTTTTTAAAAATTGACTTGTTTTTAAAATGGCCATAACTTGAAAATTATTTGTTGGAAACAGCTTAAACTTTCTACACAACATAAGGACATAAATATGTTTCAGAATATGTAATAAAAATTCTGAGTGATTTTTGAGCCATTTTTTGGAAAAACCATGGGCTATAGCCTTGGGTATTTTTCAGAATTTTGCCATTTTCATAAAATGGCTGTAACTTGGAAAATTGAAGTTGGAATCAGCTCAAACTTTCTACACAGCATAAGGACATCAGTATGTATCAGAAAATGTAATAAAAATTTGTGGTGATTTTGGAGCCATTTTTTGAAAAAACCATGGGCTATAGCCTTGGGTATTTTTCAGAATTTTGCCATTTTCATAAAATGGCTGTAGCTTGGAAAATTGAAGTTGGAATCAGCTCAAACTTTCTACACAGCATAAGGACATCAGTATGTATCAGAAAATGTAATAAAAATTTGTGGTGATTTTGGAGCCATTTTTTGAAAAAACCATGGGCTTATAGCCTTGGGTATTTTTCAGAATTTTGCCATTTTTATAAAATGGCTGTAACTTGGAAAATTGAAGTTGGAATCAGCTCAAACTTTCTACACAGCATAAGGACATCAGTATGTATCAGAAAATGTAATAAAAATTTGTGGTGATTTTGGAGCCATTTTTTGAAAAAACCATGGGCTATAGCCTTGGGTACTTTTCAGAATTTTGGCACTTTTTAAAATGGTCATAACTTGAAAAATTGAAGTCGGAATCAGCTCAAACTTTCTACACAGCATAAGGGTATCAGTATGTATCAGAAAATCTAATAAAAATTTGTGGTGATTTTGGAGCCATTTTTCGGAAAAAAACTTGGGCTTATAGCCCAAGTTAAGTTTTTTCCAAAAATTGCTCTGAAAAATTTCCGAAAAATGGCCTTTGCTTTCTAAAGAAAATTGGTTCATTTTTTAAAATGCTCATAACTTCAAAATAATTATTTGTTAGAAAAAGCTCAAACTTTCTGATTATGTCTCTGGACATGTTAGCTACAAGAATTACGTAATTATTTTTAGGTGCAGTTCATCGTTACTATGAGTCAAGGAGGAGGATTGGTATTGAAGAACTGCCAGATAGACAAGAGAAAGCTGCCGAGCAGAAGAAGAGGAGGAAATATAGAGCACGTCAGCAAAGGGTAATCATTTAGCACTAATAAACACTTGAGCAATACTGAATCAGGCTATCTTATGTTTGCTGTATTATTATGTACATATTTTGTTAGTCTTATGATAGGCGCAAGAAGTTTGTTAGGGAGTCAGAGGCCAAGTATTGGCATTATGTTAATCCTGCTTGTATGACTGAAGAGTCTGATGCTGAAGATGGTGATACTGGTGGAGATAAGATTATTACCCATCGTCTCATATGGAGATCAGAATGTAAGTCTGTCTCTATGTATGTGTATGTATATGTACAAGAATTTTTTACATGCAAAAAAGTAAAATTGTAGCTACCTTTTGGGGAAAAATTATAGTCTTTGGCAATGTACACGTAATTCATTGCTTTAAAGAGTCAGTATTTATAATGTAACTATATAATTATAACTAAAAGTAAATCTAGTTTTTCTAATGGATTTTTTTGCAATTTTTAGTTTTGAACATGTTCCTGAACAAGTTGGATGTTCGTTATGAGAGAGCCCGTAAGCCAGGGCCAGGAGTATCAGCTAATGCTCGTAGGGAACGTATTGAAGGCCAACCATCAACCTCACAGCCTCCTGTTGGTCTACCATCATGGATGCTAGATCAAGACTACCATCAGGTAGGCATGGATGAACTATTACGTGTACTGTATAGTGGTACATTGTCTCTATAGGTTACTGGTATATCTGTATCATTGACCCCAACAGCTTCACAGACTCAGTTGATTGTTACTACACCTCTTCATGATGCTGCACTAGTAGAAACATCTACAGGTTAGCTATTAATAGTTGCATGAATCATGTTTTGATTGTTGTATGTAGTGTCTGATGAAGTCTCCTATTCTTCTCTTATTGACATGCAAGAGGTTAAAGATGATTCCAGTGATTTTGAGTTGCCTGATCACGTTGTTGCTGATGCCACATCATTTACTCAATAATGGCTGACTGTTCTCAAGGATTATTATATAACTACATGTATAATGTGCAGAAGCCTATAATATTTAAGAAAGATTGACTTAATCCTATATTACACTAATTGAATAGTTAATATACTGATATTGTAATGACCTCTTTGTCACCATTTGTTAGTATTGTATTTATTAAAGACAAGTGGAAAAAAACACTACATTTGCAGATAAAGTCCTGCAGTATGGACTGCTAAAAAGTTCAATAGGCAGCACTATTGAGGGTTCATAGATAATTGACTCTAAATTCAAATCTATGCCACGCCCTTTTTTAGCTATGCCAATTAATATGGCACTATTTTGCAATCAAAACTGATCATTACTGCCAGAGTAAGCACAGTTTACAATGTCTTTCATTGGCATCCTTTTTCTTAGTGCTACGGCTGTTTGTTTCTCCTTCACATCAGGACAGAAGGTATTCTATGTCCATCCTAATGGAGACCAGTCACAATGTCCTGTCAATGGTGGTGACTGTTACACTCTAAATGAGTACTTTGCTGTATCTCATAAATCATTTGCATACGAGGATACAATTTTCGAATTTCTTCCTGGTAATCATTTCTTAAATAACTCTATAAATATTTCTGTAAGTAGCAACATAACATTTCATGGAATGCCAAGAGAAAATGGCCTATTGGATCCCCCAGTCGTAATACGTTGTGTAGCTGAAAATGTTGCCATAACATTTGAATTCTGTAATAATGTGCAGTTTCAAAATATAGCAGTCAGAAACTGTGGTAAAAGAGTTGTGTCATTGATGGATTTTTCTGAAAGTGCATTGGTTATGTTTAATGTTTTAAATGCTAATATCCATTACGTTTCAATACAAGATAGTCCTGGTGCTGCATTGGCACTTAGTGATTCATTGAATATTTCAATCTCTATGTCTTCTTTTCATTTTAACAACCGATATAGCAGTTACAATGAGTCAGCTTCTGTTGCCGTGATGTATCGCTCAGCACAAGCCAGCAGCATCTCTAACAGTGCATTGAACTTTGTGATGCATCACTGTGACATTACTGATGATCATTTCATTGGTTTATACATCAGTCTTATTGAGGTTGAGAATCTTCTTAATATTCATTTAGAGTCCATTTATGTTGCCAATAATACCTTTTTAAACATCTTTATATACAGTGTGACTGATAAATATGATCTAAGTATCACTGCTCTTCAATCTGCAGGAAGTCTAAGTGGAGTTATATTATCTCAAAATGAAACATCTTTAAAAGAGCATGTGCCATCTATATCCATTGTGAACTGTTCTTTGTCAAATCATCAGGGCAATGGATTGATAGTATTATGGTATAGTTCCCTCTCTGGCCTATTTTATCTTGGTTATTCGTCTTTTACCAGTAATGCAGGGATTATTGGTACTGCTTTATTGATAGCTGCAGATCGAAATCCAAGCAGTCAAGGAACTTTTGATGTAATACTAGACAATGTGACTTTTGACAGCAATGTTCTTAATCGTACTTTTGCTGATGTCTTTGGTCTCAATCCTTCTATTTCTGCTACTGCTGGCTTCTCTAATGGTAAGAATTTATCCATTATTAATTGCACCTTTAGTAACAATGAGGGAAGTGGACTTGGAATTTTTAACACCTACACCACATTTTATGGAGTCAATAATTTTATAAATAATTCTGCTGAAATTGGTGGTGGTATTGTCATGATATCTACATCTTTTTTGTTTTTTACTCCTGGCTCTTTGGTAAATTTTATTGGCAATCATGCTGAGGAAAAAGGTGGAGCTATTAATGTGGAACAAATTGTTCTACTTTTCAGTACAACTGAATTCATTTTTAGTGAAAGTAATCTTGTCATTAATCCTTGCTTTTACGAACTTGATGATGCAAATCCAACTGAAAAACATTTACATTTTGAAAGCAATACTGCCGGAGTTGCTGGTGCAGTCCTATATGGTGGAGACACTAGTGTATGCATACAAGCTAATTTCAGTGAGATTAGTACTTTTTTCAATCAAGAAGACACTTTTTCCATAATATCTTCTGATCCACGTGGAGTGTGTTTTTGTACTGCTGGAGTTCCAAACTGTAACCAGAAAAGCTTGTTGGTATCAGCTATACCAGGGGACAGCATTAAATTTTCTGTGGTTGTGATAGGTCAGAATGACAATGCAACTACTGGTATTATCAGTGTTTCTAGTGATAGTCAAGCACGCCCTAATAACTACAATTCACATGCAGTTTGCACTAATTTGACTCACGAAATTAAAGTTCAAGAAAATACCACCAATAAAGTCACAGTAAATGTTACTATAGGCAACTTTCAGACAAATTTTTTTCAGCATCCACTGACTATTGATGTTGACATTGATCCTTGCTTAACTGGTACTTACCTGTCACCTATATCACATGTTTGTGAGTGTGAGGAGTCTATCAAAGCTGCTACTACAAACTGTATTGGTGTGAATGCTACTGTGACAAAGAAGGACATACATGGCTGGATAGGAAATTATGATAACTGCACTATAGTATACCCTTTATGTCC